GACTCAAGCAATCCTTCTGCCTCAGCCTCCCGAGTAGCTGAGACTACAGGCATGTGCCACCATGCCCGGCTAATTTTTTTTTCTATATATTTTTAGTTGTCCGGTTAATTTCTTTGTATTTTTAGTAGAGACGGGGTCTCGCTCTTGCTCAGGCTGGTTTCGAACTCCTGAGCTCAAATAATCCACCCACCTCAGCCTCCCAGAGCGCTAGGATTACAGGCGTGAGCTACCGTGCCCGTCCTATTTGCTAAAATTTTGTTGAGGATTTTTGCATCTATATTCGTAAGGGATATTGATCTGAAGTTTTCTTTTTTTGTTGTGTCCTTTCATGGCTTTGGTATCAAGGTGATATTGGCTTTGTAGAATGAGTTAGAAAGGACACCATCTTTCTCGATATTGTGGAATAATTTCTGTAATATAGGTATGAGTTCTTTGCATGTCTGGTAAAACTCTGAAGTGTAGCCATCTGGTCCGGGACTTTTACGTTTTGGGAGGTTTTTGATTACTGCTCCAATTTCTGAGCTTGAGATTGGTCTATTCAGATATTCTGTTACCTCCTGGGTGAACTTAGGGAGGTTGTATGTTTCCAGGAATTTGTCCAGTTCCTCCTCGTTACATAGTTTTGGGGCATATAGGTTTTTATAGTAATCAAAAATAATGTTTTGTATTTCCGTGGTATCTGTTGTGACCTCTCCTTTTTCATTTTTGATTGAGTTTATTAGAGACCTTTCCCTTCAGATTCTAGTCAATCTAGCAAGAGGGGCGTCGATTTTGTTTGTCTTTTCAAAAAACCAGCTTTTGGTTTTGTTGATCTTCCATATAGTTCTCTTGTTCTCAATTTCGTTTACTTCTGCTTTGATCTTAGTTATTTCTTTTCTTCTGTTAGGATTGGGATTGATTTGCACTTCCTTTTCCAATTCCTTGATTTTATTTATTAGGTTGTCGATTTTTAAACTTTCTGTTTTTTGGATATGAGCATTTATTGCTATTAGTTTTCCTCTCAGGTATGCTTTTGCTCTATCCCACAGGTTTTGATAGCTTGTTTCTCCATTATCATTTAGTTTGAAGAAGTTCTTGATTTCCCTCTGTATTTCCTCCTTGACCCAATAGTTAGTCAATAATAGATTGTTTAATTTCCATGACTTTGTCAGGTGGTGAGTATTTCTGTTGGAATTGAACTGTAATTTTATACCACTATAGTCCGAGAAAGTACACGGTATAATTTCTATTTTTCTGAATTTGTTGAGGTCTGATTTGTGGCCTAGTATGTGATCAATTTTGGAGAAAGTTCCATGGGCTGATGAGAAGAATGTAAATTCGGCTTTATTTGGGTGGAATGTTCTGTAGAGATCTGTCAGACCCTTTTGTTCCAGAGTTCTGTTTAAGTCCATTATTTCTTTGCTTATTTTCTGTTTGGAAGATCTGTCCAGCTCATTCAGTGGAGTATTGAAGTCCCCTGTTACTGTGGTATTATTGTTTATCATGCTATTTGGATCAAACAAGGTTTGCTTTATGTAACTGGGTGCTCGTGTATTGAGTGCATAGATATTAATAATTGTTAACTCTTCTTGTTGGATCCTCCCTTTCACCAATATACAGTGGCCATCTTTGTCCTTTTTTACTTTTGCTATTTTAAAGCTTATGTTATCTGAAACTAGTATGGCTACCCCTGCTTTCTTTTGACTTCCATTTGCCTGGATGATAGTTTTCCATCTCTTGACCTTTAGTCTGAAGGCATCTTTGTGGATTAGATGCATTTCCTGTAGACAGCAGATACTAGGCTTGTGGATTTTTATCCACTCTGCCAGTCTGTATCTATTGAGAGGACAGTTCAGGCCATTCACATTTATTGAGAGGATTGAGATTTGTGGTAGATTTCCATTCATATTGTTGGGTGAAATCTTGTTTTGTTTTGCTCCTTGAGCCATCATGAAGTCCATGTTCTAGGCTTTAACTCTTGAGTGATTTTACTTTGAAGAGTGTCTATTATGCTGTTCAGTGTGTAATGCAGATCTGAGTACTTCCTGTAGGGCTGGTCTGGTCTTTGCAAAATCCATCAGTGAATGCTTGTCTGGGAAGGACTTTATTACTCCCTCATAGATGAAACTTAATTTTCCTGGATAAAGAATTCTGGCTTGGGCATTATTCTGTTTTAGTAGATTAAGGATAGGGACCTAGTCCCTTCTGGCTTGTAAGGTTTCAGTTGAAAAAATCAGCAGTTAGTCTGACCGGCTTTCCTTTATAGTTTATTTGTTGCTTTCGTCTCACTGCTCGAAGAATTGCTTCTTTCGTGTTTACTTTGGTCAGTCTAATAACTACGTGACGTGGTGATTGCCTTTTCACATTGAGTCTCCCAGGAGTTCTCCTGTAGTATATTTAAAGCTCATTCCAGGGCCGGGCGTGGTGGCTCACGCCTGTAATCCTAGCACTCTGGGAAGCCGAGGCAGGTGGATCGTTTG